TCGTCTTTTCGTCTTTCGTTACCGCCGATATTCTTGTCTACGGGTCCTAAGCGAAGCTATCGTTTATTACACCAAAAATTCCATATGAATTACTGTAAAAACTAATGTCAAAATTTCAAAACTGCAGCAATAAAACACTGAAAATTAAATCAATTATAAAGAAAAAAAAAGAAGAAGTAAAAGCAACTAAAATTTAGTAGAATTGTACGGTTCAGATAAATTACTGAAACTTGTCCTCTCTGTAACGCTCTTAAAATTTTTATCCATCTGGTTGACTTGAAAACAACCTTACTGACTTGAAATTGTTTAAAAATCAAAATTTGCTTCGCCGGAATTCTGTCATGCTAAGGATATTTGCTGAAAAAGCTTTTGTAAAAGTGCTGAGAAACAAAAAGCAAATTAAACTGTTATTTTAAGCTGCTTAGGAAATAAGATAAACAGTATTTCATATAAAAAAGCTTCTATTTTGCTGTTTTTGCTAGCTGAACAAATCACTAGATAATAATATCTACTTCCTGGATTATTCGATTGAACTTTTTACACCTCAGTAGTTACCTGTTTATTTCAAACCTTAGTTTTTATTGCTTTTTAGTGAAAAAAATTTAAAAAAAAAAAACAATTTTACTCAAAACAAATTGCATCAAAAGAGCCAACGTACATTGGTTTTAGTACCCCTGGCAACCTATTATCCTCTTAAAAGAGCGTGAATATATTAAAGAAAAAAATTTGGAGAAAAACTGCAATAAAAGCAAATAATCTGATCTTAGCTCATATGAAAAAAAAACTGTATTGAATGCATACAAATTATAATAACACTATCGTTACTGGATACTTGTAGTCTCTGCCAGTAGTTTAGTATTATTTTAATCTTAAACTCAAATAATTTTAAATTATTTATCTATAAAGTTTTTGGGTCTTAACGCTTCATCTGTTGCTTTATTTGCAATGGCTATTTTACTACTAAAATATTATTGTCAACAACTGCTTTCTTCCGCCATTTGATTCTATCACAATGACAGCATTTATCCGCTTTGTAAGACTTGTTTTTTTTTTTTAGTTCACTGAACGCATATCGTAGACAACGGGTTTAGCTGTTGTGACATCTGAAGCTGCATTGAATTCCACTAAAACAACCACCAAAACTTCAACAAAGTCTACAAGCGTTCGTAGAGCAGAAGAAGTAAAAGTGAAAGCTGTTTTTAGTGTAAGTGACGATAATAATTGAAAAGCAGAAAGCGTTTGAAATAGAATTTGACATAAAGTCAAAATCTAAGACCAAAAGACAAAAAGCTCTGCTAATGCAACGGTCAATATTTTTCCTGCTTTATGCAAATTTCACACAAGATTATTCATCAAGCCTTAATTGACAGTTGTGACTATTTGCATTATTTACGTTATTCACTTCTTTGGTCTTAAAACGGATAATAAACTTTATTTTATCCTAAAAGAAATTTTTTTCTTGAAAAAAAAAAGAAATGTTAAAACCGTTGTTGATGAATGAGGCAAAGCGATATATCTGTAGTGAGTATTTAGAAACAACAATTTTATTTTGAAATGAGACAATATTTATCATTGTCATTTGCCCATATGAGTAGGATTCAACAAGTTTTCAGTTTTTACTGCCTACCAAATTTATCGATCTTAAAGAAACTGCAAAAACAATATGTTACCCTTTCAAGCCTTAAATAAGCAGCAGATTAACCGCTGTCGTGTTCGGTGTCCCAAAACTGAGATGGAGCACAGTCAACGTTGTTAAAGTCCTGAAAAAGTGTCGTGTTCTACCTGCAGAAAAAAAAAACAAAAATTGAAAAGAGATTAAATAAGAAACACAAATGTTTACTGATAAATAAGTTTTATTTAAAATTAAATTTACCTAAACCTAATCAATTTACTATTAAGCACTATTCATTTCTGATAGTTAATAACCTTTTTATAAAATTTTTACAGACAAAAAGTATATGTAGTTTCTTTTCATTTGAACTTTAATAAATTGTTATACTTAATAGAAAGTAGAAAAAAGTTCAAATAAAAGAGAGAAATATAAACATGAAAATTTTTAGAGTTATGTTGGAAAAGAAAATTTTTTTGCTAAGCAACTTATAAAAATGTTTAGCAGCTGGTCATTGGCATTCAGAAAATGACAGATGATAAGTTGCTGAAAAATGAATATATAGCAAAAAAAAAATATATATATATATACAGAAAGGAAGTGACAAATCTAAATTCTATCATCTTTCTTTTAGTCTGATGATTAATTTGTCGTCATTTTTTTTTTTTAGAAAAAACTAAAAAAGTCTCTACACTCGTATAACATTGGTAAACTTCATGCTTTACTTAGTGTCAACAATTGAAATAAACTTATCCGGTTGCTCCTATGCACTTAATGTTTATTTCCATTAAAAATTTTGCTAAATTTTATTTGATACAAATGCACTTGACACTTTGAACCTTCATATATTTATAGTAATTTAACTCTATTCCTCTTTTTTTTTCTTCCCAAATTACTAAAACAACTAAAAAAACTAACAAAAACCAAAAAATGTTTCTTCAAAAATGATAAGGCATCAGATGATCACCTGCCATAGTGCAAGTATCAATTCGCTTGTAATAATTTCACCAGCGTGTGTTGAGATCATTCGTAACATAAAGACTCCATCCTTCCGCAGAAAATGTGTTGCAAATTTTCGTAGTGTTACCTCTTCAGCAACAGGTTTTGATGGATGTTCACTTAACACGCGTAAATATTTTCGGATAAATGAGATTCCCTGCAATTGTTTTTTTTTTTTCTTTCTTTTGGTAAAATTATTGTGGCAAAATTTTTTAGCAACAATTTTTTCAGTTACAAATAGAATAATTTTTTCTTCTAATTTTATTAATTACTTTCAATTAATAACAGTACAGCTAATTTTCTTTTACTACTTAATTTTTGTTAAAAATATGCTGTATTTCAACAGATAAAGCTGTTCATTCAAATAATTTACTGTCAACAACAAAGTTAACAAGAAACTCTGATACTACTGTAATTTATCTGAATTTGTTTAATGCTGTTGAACTAAATACAAAAACAAAAAAAAAAAAAATGTCTATGTCTTACCTGATTTGGAAAGAACATAACAAAGATCCAATAATAGGTGTTTAACAAAGTGATCACTCCAACAGTTAAATACCAAAACCATAAAAACAGAAAAATTTTTTCGTTAAACATATTTATCATAAGAACACACTGAACAGTATGCCGATGAATGTTTCCAATAACTCGAACCTACAATAGAAAAATAAGCAACCAAAAAGCAGTACACTGTTTTTTGTATCTTCTTTTTTCTCTTTAATTAAAACACTTTGTTAGAAAGTAAAATTTTATAAGAAAAAAGTTTTTCCTTTTAATTTTCCATAAATTATGCTTATAGTGACAAATCAAGTTCGTCAGATTAACACTGTTTAGACCATCCAATCGAATATATAATTTGAAACAGAAAATGTTAATAATTCATGCATTTATAAAAAAAATGAAAAAGAAGGCAAAATTTGTTTGAAAAGCAAAAACTGTTACATTTCTGATTAGAAGACTTCTTCTTGTTTTTTTTTCTCTCCTTCCCTTCTCCAGCCCAAAAAAAAGAAGAAATTTGAATTTTTAAAACTGTTACACTGCAATTAAAATGTTTGTTTTTATTTCAATCACTGTCAGTTTAGCGACAAAACTCAGATATATATATATATATATATATATATATATATATATATCGGAAAAATGGCGTTTTATGCAGACTTTTTTCTTTTCTTGATCTCTAGTTTGAATGGCAGTTTATGTTAGATTTGCTTTTGTCTCTTTTTTCTCTATTTTTTTTTCCAAGGTTAAAATTTTTCAAAGCTCATGTTTATTTGTTTAGAAATAAGTGTATTTTTTGTCAATTTAATATTTATGACATGTAGATGTTAATAAGTACGACAAAAAAAA